ACTCATCATCATCATCATCATCATCATCATCATCACCACCATCATCGCACTCATCATCATCATCATCGGCATCATCGATCATCATCATCATCATCATCATCATCATCATCATCATCATCATCACTACTCGCTGACTCACCACTTCGTCCCCATCATCATCACCACCATTTACCATCATAATCGCACGATCACTCACCATCAGCACTCATCATCACCACCATCATCATCATCACGTCGTCATCATCACCACACCACCATCATCATCATCATCATCATCATCATCATCATCATCATCATCATCATCATCACCATCATCATCATCATCATCATCATCATCATCATCATCATCATCATCATCATCATCATCATCATCATCATCATCATCATCATCATCATCATCATCATCATCATCATCATCATCATCATCATCATCATCATCATCATCAATCATATATCATCATCAAACACCGTCGTCATCATCCCATCACCATCATCCACCAAGAGGGAGCCTCGTCTGTGAGTGAATTGTGAGGAAGTCTCACGCGGGAGCCCCCTCCCTATGGGGCCCGCAGATCATGGTACTAAGCCGAGCGGGTCATCGGATTCTTTTAACTGTCGTCACTTTTGGGCTCCTCAGGTCTGAATTTGGAGTAAGTATCAAGCGGGAGCCTCGTCTGTGAGTGAATTTCAAGGAAGTCTCAGGCGGGAGCCCCCTCCCTATGGGGCCCGCAGATCATGGTATTAAGCCGAGCGGGTCATCGGATTCCTCTAACTGTCGTCACTTTTGGGCTCCTCAGGTCTGAATTTGGAGGAAGTATCAGGCGGGAGCTTCGTTTGTCAATGAATTGCGAGCAAGTCTCAGCGGGAGCCCCCTCCCTATGGGGCCCGCAGATCATGTTATTAATCCGAGCGGGTCATCGGATTCTTGTAACTGTCGTCATTTTTGGGCTCCTCAGGTTTGAATTTGGAAGAAGTATCAAGCGGGACCCTCGTCTGTGAGTGAATTGTGAGGACGCGTCAGGCGGGAGCCCCGTCCGTATGGGTCCGCAGATCATGTTATTAATCCGAGCGGGTCATCGGATTCTTGTAACTGTCCTCATTTTTTGGGCTCCTCAGGTTTGAATTTGGAGGAAGTATCAAGCGGGAGCCTCGTCTGTGAGTGAAATCTGAAGAAGTCTCAGGCGGGAGCCCCCTCCCTATGGGGCCCGCAGATTATGTTATTAATCCGAGCGGGTCATCGGATTCCTCTAACTGTCGTTGAATTGTGAAGAAGTCTCAGGCGGGAGCCCCCTCCCTATGGGGCCCGTAGATTATGTTATTAATCCGAGCGGGTCATCGGAGTCTTGTAACTGTCGTCACTTTTGGGCTCCTCAGGTCTGAATTTGGAGGAAGTATCAAGCGGGAACCTCGTCTGTGAGTGAATTGTGAAGAAGTCTCAGGCGGGAGCCCTCTCCCTATGGGGCCCGCAGATCATGTTACTAATCCAAGCGGGTCATCGGATTCTTTTAATTGTCGTCACTTTTGGGCTCCTCAGGTCTGAACTTGGAGGAAGTATCAGGCGGGAGCCTCGTTTGTCAATGAATTGCGAGCAAGTCTCAGGCGGGAGCCCCCTCCCCATGGGGCCCGCAGAGCATGTTACTAATCCGAGCGGGTCATCGGATTCTTCTAACTGTCGTCACTTTTGGGCTCCTCAGGTCTGAACTTGGAGGAAGTATCAAGCGGGAACCTCGTTTGTGAGTGAATTGTCAGGAAGTCTCAGGCGGGAACCCTCTCCCTATGGGGCCCGTAGATTATGTTATTAATCCGAGCGGGTCATCGGATTCCTGTAACTGTCGTCACTTTTGGGCTCCTCAGGTCTGAATTTGGAGGAAGTATCAGGCGGGAGCTTCGTTTGTCAATGAATTGCGAGCAAGTCTCAGGCGGGAGCCCCCTCCCTATGGGGCCCGCAGATCACGTTATTCATCCGAGCGGGTCATCGGATTCTTTTAACTGTCGTCACTTTTGGGCTCCTCAGGTCTGAATTTGGAAGAAGTATCAAGCGGGACCCTCGTCTGTGAGTGAATTGTGAGGACGCGTCAGGCGGGAGCCTTCCTATGGGTCCCGCAGCTCACGTGGTTCCTCCGGGTCATCCTCCGGCGCGCGCTTCCTCTGGGTCGTCCTCCGGCGCGTATCGGCTGGGACGCACGTCGTGCGCTTCCTCTGGGTCGTGTTCCGCACGAGGACGAGGAGGAGGAGGATTGCCAGGAAAAGGAGGAGGGATGATGCAGGACGAGACAGGAAAGCAGGAAGAGGAAGAGGCTGAGGGGAGGAAGGACGAGGAGGAAAAGGAGGAGGAGGAATGCCCGAGGAGGCCCCAGTAGGTCCCGGAAGGCCCAGAAGGCTCCAGGAGGCCCCAAGAGGCCCCAGGAGGCCCCAGGAGGGGGCAGGAGGCCTAAGGAGGAGGCAGGAGGAGGAGGAGGAGGAGGAGGAGGAGGAGGAGGAGGAGGAGGAGGGGGGGGAGGAGGGGGGAGGAATATGGAAACGAGGAGGAGGAGGAGGAGGAGGAGGAAGCGGATGAGGGAGAGGGAGAGGAGGAGGACAGGGGATGAGGAGGAGGAGGAGGAGGAGAAGGGAGAGGGAGAGCAGGAGGAGGAGGCAGGAGGCAGGAGGGGCAGGGGGAATGGGGGGGAGGAAGCATAACGAGGGGGAGGGGGAGGAGGTGGAGGAGGCAAGAAGAGGAGGAAGAGGCAGGGGTTGAGGCAGGAGGAGGAGCAGACAGGAGGAGAACGAGGAGGCAAGAGTAGGTGGGAGAAGGGAAGGGGCAGGAGGATACCCCCATGCAAGCTAAAGAGATTCTCATGTGGGGTCCTTCCGTCGGAGTATTTTTTTATCTATACGACCACCCTGCGGGTGATAAGCAGGTTGGGGGGGGGAGGGGGCCACCAATGGGCAACAGTGGTGATTGTTGCGTTGCCGCTCGCTCTTGGGAGCCTTGGTGTCGAGTTGTTTACGTCATCCTTCGAAATCGGGCGCCTTGGTATCATTCTCCCCCCCCGGAACCAACGAAATAATAATTTATTTAGTTCATTTTGCAATCGATCTCACAATGGACCCCACTATCGCTTTCACAATCGATCTCACTCGATCGATCGCACTATCGATCTCAGTCGATCGATCTCACTATCGATCTCACTATCGATCCCACTCAATCGATCTCACTCTCTATCTCTCGATCGATCTCACAAAAGATGTCGTTATCGGTCTCACTATCGATCTCACCATCGATCTCACTATCGATCTCACTCGATCTCACAATCGATTTCACTATTCATCTCACTATCGATCTCACTATCGATCTCACGATCGATCTCACTATCGGTCTCACTATCGATCTCCCTATCGATCTCACAATCGATTTCGTCATCGGTCTCACTATCGTTTTCGCACCAGCGGGACACCGGGACACCAGCGGGACACCGGCGGGACACCGCGCGCCATCGCTTGCCCAAGGGAGAATCATTTGGTCCGGCTGGGGCCCAGCCACAAGCGGGACACCGGCGGGACACCGCGCGCCACCGCTTGCCGGAGGGAGAATCATTTGGTCCAGCCGCGCCTCAGCCACAGGAGACTTTCCTCTCGCCCGCCCACGCAGCTTCGACTCGCCCGCACGCACGGCACGCACGCACACGAAACCGAAACCGATTTCCCGGTGGGGGGATCTCCGTTCATCTTCGATCTCACCCCCCAACCTCCGATATATAAAATTATCCCGGCAAAGCAACCTAACAGCGATGTGTAGGAGCATATCTGGAAGTCTGGAAGCATTCACCTTAAGATTCAGATGAGAATCCAGTTGTAGAATTCTGTTGTTCTCGCAGTCGTAGTCGCATTCGCGATGACAGTCGCAGTGGCAACGGCAGTCGCAGTCACAGCCTCAGCCTCAGCCTGCCTCAGCCTCAGCCTCAGCCTGCCTCAGCCTCAGCCTGCCTCAGCCTCAGCCTCAGCCTGCTTCAGCCTCAGCCTCAGTCTGCCTTCAGCCTCGGCCTCAGCCTCAGCCTGCCTCAGCCTCAGCCTGCATCAGCCTCAGCCTCAGCCTCAGCCTGCCTCAGCATCAGCCTGCTTCAGCCTCAGCCTCAGCCTGCCTCAGCCTCAGCCTCAGTCTGCTTCAGCCTCAGCCTCAGTCTGCCTTCAGCTTCGGCCTCAGCCTCAGCCTGCCTCAGCCTCAGCCTGCCTCGGCCGCAGCATCAGCCTGCCTCAGCATTCAAAACGTGGCCCAGGGATGGAATTCTGGGAACTAGAAGAACACGAAGTGGCCTGCAGTTGGCTCCGGGCATTCAAAATCATGCCCAGGAATGGAGTTCTGGGAAGTCGAAGAGCACGAAGTGGCCTACAGTTGGCTCCGGGCATACAAAATATGGCCCGGGAATGGAGTTCTGGGAAGTCGAAGAGCACGAAGTGGCTTACAGTTGGCTCCGGGTATTCAGAATGTGGCCCGGGAATGGAGTTTTGGGAGGTCGAAGAGCACGAAGTGTGTGACCGTTTGCAAAAAAACGAGTTCGGACACGAGTTCGGACACAGCTCCCCGGATGCCGCCCAGACCCCCTTGTGGAGTCATTTGCTGCTCTCTTTTGACACCACTAGAAGCCTATCAGTCTTCGCTGTTAGGTAAAAAAGCGTCCAACATACGCCTGTAGGAGGACATGCCCGACCAGAGGCTGGCCAGGAAGTCCGCGCGGGTCTCCGAGGCGAGCACCCCGGTTCGGGGGAGCGTAAGACCCGGGTTTGCCGGGACTCGGGTTCGCCATCGTTTTTTGACGACCGCGACTCGGATTTTGACGAGGAGGAGTTTTGTGGGATGTCTGCAGCGGGAGGCCTCGTCAAAATGCAGGCTCGGCCTCGTCATTTTTTTGACGACCTCGTCGGGGATTTCCGAGTCCCCCGTACCCGGGTCTTACGTCTCCCCGACCGGTGGCTGCCCTGCCCTGCGCAGGCCGCCTCCCCCCCCTGCGCCGCGCGCGTAGGCCCTCGCCCGCCACGGCCGGCGCGGGCGCGAGCGCCGAGGAGACGCGCGGGGGAGGGGCCGCAGGCGCGGGGGGTCGGCCACGCGCAGAGTGGAGAGGCAGGAGGAGGAGGAGGAGGAGGAGGAGGAGGTGGAGGAGGAGGAGAAGGAGGAAGAAGAAGAAGCATAATAATAGTATTATTGTGAAGAATCATCATAAGAATAAGAACAAGAAGAAGAAGAGGAGGAGGAGGAGGAGGAGGAGGAGGAGGGGCCGCAGGCGCTGGGGGTCAGCCAAGCGCAGAGCCCAGACAAATCACGGCGGGCGTTTTTTCCTGATGTTCGGTCTCGGGACCGTCAGAAAATGACTCAGGATGGAAAACCGGTCCAGGGGAATGGGTCGAGACCTCTGAGGGTCGACGTTATGAAAAAAAACATAAAACCAT